ACAAGAAAGTAACAATGTGACATGACATTACTGACTTAGAGTTAGGATAGTTATGATACATGTTAATATGGACGATGTTCACACGTCTCACACACTTACTCACTGGCTCGTAATGAACTCCTGTGAAACACTTGAACTCCACGGCGATGGTCCCAGAGATCCGATCGTGGGTGAAAGAGCAGTCCGAAAACTGGGCTTGGAGAGTGTGTATTAGTTATAATAATAGCACACATCTTCTTTTTTCTTTCTCTCAATGGGCCAAAATTCGTGAAATTTCTTTTAAGATTCATCTCGAGATCCAATACTTGCTCACTGGCTTACTCACTCTTCTCTTTGGCTTCATATATACATAGTGGATAATACATAAAATATGATTTTCTCACTCACACATGGAAAACATGCTGTGCGGACCACGAATATATAATGAAAGGATATGTACACTAAATGTACGAAATATATAGAACTAGTACACTATTTTCTCTCGGAAATTAATCTTACAATTCCTTTTTTCCTTCTGTGGTCCACTTGCTGATAATAGGAACTTTGGCTTCCAATACAAAAACCCTAAGTGACTAAATGTCCCAAAGAAATTGGGGGAAATACTCCTAGGATACAGCTTCTGACAGAGCCCCACGATACGCCATATAGACACTGGAATGTGTGAACACGCTACTCTCCTTCGACAGACAATTCTTTCTCACTGAAGAATCACTTGCGTAGATTTTCGTTTCCAAGTCAGCACACGCTCGGCACGAACACGGCGATCACAGCACAGTAACACATTCCTCCGCAATATGGGGACTTGTCTTGAGGGAAGAAAAATGTCTTGTTTTGGACTTAGATCCTCGAGACTTTGCCGTTGTTATGGTCCAGTAGGGGAGGCACGACGCTGTAGAGGTTGACCTGGGCCTGTGCGGGGCGGCCGAGGGTCAGGAGGGAGGTCGAGGTTGAGCCTGGAGGAGGAGGAAGCGTGAAGACGGGCACGTTGGTCGGGCGCACGGGCGTCGAGTGCGTCGGGGCGCTCTCGGGGAACTTGTGGCTCTTCACGACCAGAGATTCGTCGAGGGTAAGGTCGGACAGCGTGCGGTTCCAGGCGCCCCACTTGGTGGTGGACGCAGTGGAAGAGGTCTCGTAGGTGAGCGCCGATGCCTGGCGCCTCCTCCACACAAGGACCACCACCACCAAGAGGGCAGCCAGCACTCCGGCGCCCACTCCGAGGACGACCTCCAGCTGGACGGGGGTGACGAAGCGGTGCACGAGGGGGAGGGTAGGGGTGATCTCGTTCTGCTTCTGCTGAGCTGCGAGGGTGATGTTGTGCGTGTCGAGGGTGAGCTGAGCGGAGCGGAGGGGTTCGCCCAGGGGGCCGGTCACGAGCTCTACCTGCACGTGGTAGACGGTCTCGGGCCACAGGGTCAGGTCAACTTCGGGGAGGTCAGTGTACAGGTGCCCCTTGAGGCCACCTCCCTCCACCTCCCAGGTGACCAGGTAGTCTCCGCCGCGGGGGTTCTGGGGCGCCCACCACACGCGGGCGGCCACGAGACCCGAGTCCTCGACCTCGGCTTCGTGAAGGAGAGGCCACAGGTCGGAGCCGTCCATCTCGATGCTGTTGTTCTCGGGCATTTCCTGGGAGGACTGCTCCCGGGAGGAGCCGAGGGCGGGCTTCACGCTCCCCCTGGGGTGCGCAGGGGGAGCATACGGGGTGATGATCACGGAGAGGACGCCGGACTCGGCCACGGCAACCAGCTTCATGTCGGATCCTGTTGGAAGATCGTCAAGAGCGGTGCCGAAGTCAGCGGTCTGGAGACGGAGGTCCCAGGACTTGCCGGGGGTCCTGGTGAAGAGAGCGAAGACCACATGTTCCTGCGCCGCGCTGCGCCCCCAAGAGAGAGTCCATTGCGCTGCCCACCCGCTGAACACGAGAGTGAGGCGGGAATTGTGTTGACTCAGAGGCACGACGCTGTTCGGGTGCGCGGAGTGGAAGTTGCAGGCGGCTTCACATCCTTCTCCCTGTAGGAACAAGAAAGCGCAACGTTAATACAAATGAATACTTGGACGAATTTTTAACATATGATCATCTCTTCATCACTGTAAAAATCATTTCATACTAATCTGAGCACTGATAAGATACTTACACAAATGTCTCTTTGGCCGCAGGTGATACTCCAGATGGGGTAGTTGGTCGCGAGCAGTTCGCAGTTCTCCCAGCACTGTGGACAAAAGAAAAAGTCGGTTAGTCAAGGCTTCGCAGATTACTAAGTTTAATGCCTAAGAAGGACTAAAAAGCGGGAGAAAGAAAGTACAGATGAAAAGGAGTGTATAGACGTGAGGAATGCACCCTCTGTATGTTTTCCTAATGCCCCCTAAGTACCCGAAACGACCTAAATGACAGAGGGTCAAACGCCCAAATGACACGCTCGGCTCTCTGGCTGTCCTCGGCGCCCGTCCCTCCCCGACTTCCCGGCCCTTGACGAATGGATAACTCATCTGGTCTGCGTCTTCGCGTCAAGAACCGTTGGCCGGGACGCCCTCCCAAGGCTGGGATTACCGCTTGACGAGAATTCAGTGGAAGATAATATTATTTTCACATTTGTTTGTGACTTGGATTACTCATCTCGGGATAATTTGGACACGAAAAGCAGAATTTTGTTACTCGTGGAGTGATGTTTGGGCTAACGTCGACGTTGTTAGAAATATCTGCTTGCGTTTCCGAAAATTATGAGTGGTCGACAGCTATTTCCCGTCCCATTACCCCTTCCCGGCCGAGAGCTCTGGCGGCAAATGGGGAAATAACAGGCTAATTATCAGAATAAACAACACCAATGTCCCAAAGGCTTCCTACGGTCAGCCAGCTGCCCTCGTACCTGACCCGGCGAAAATGAGGGCCTCGTCGACTCCAAACTACCGGTTGACCTGTAATTACTGCCCTAACTACCGGTTGACCCGTCGTCACCTGTCGGGTCATTAGGTATTGGACAAAGGCTAAGGATGGGGTTCCGGGTTACTGGTTACCGGGTTACCTCTCTCCGTATTCGAGCAAGTGGGGAAAATATCAGGTGGACGGCGGGGTGTTTGAAGGCATCTGGGCGCCATGAGGCCTTTCGCCTTCCGCCCGGGGAAAGCGTCACCTTTCTCTTCTCATTTCCATCATCAGAAAGAAAGATCGAGAATAACAGGAATGCTTTATTTAAATAGGAAGTTAAAATTATACATGAGGGAAATCGCGACCGCCGGGGAGATATTTTAACCTTATTTATTCAGACATTTATTCAGGAATATTGATGCACGAGTCTCCCCTGAAACCCCTCTCGCCGTGTCCTTTGTAACTCCTCCACCTAATGGTCTATACACGCTGACTCCCCTTTTGTCCGTCGTTGCGTACTGTTCTTTAACACTTAACCATAGATTCCCTTCCTCGGTTCTTGTTCCGTAGTCTTAAATATGCTTTACGAGTATTCTTTTTTTGTTGAAGGCTCATTTATAAACATCAACTCGAACCCAACCCTCTTAGACAATGGGGAATTTTCGACGTTTGTCTTTTGTTTTGGCTTGGGCTATGGATATCGCGCGCAAACTACAGACTATAGACGCCTGTAATACTCTACAGACGAACACGCAATGCTATTATATATATATATATATATATATATATATATATATATATATATATATATATATATATATATATATATATATGCATTTCTTCAAAAGAAGAGAAAGCAGATAATTATTGTTAATGATACGACTCCATTAGATATATACCAGGCTAAAGTATGTCAATAAACCACGCAGGTAATCATTAAAAGATGCAAAGCCGAGACTACATCTCAACATGACTTTTGTCCTAATAAATTCCCTCTCAAAACAAATGAGCGCCGAAGACTTTTCAACTCGCCGCTAACATTAAATACACGGTGTGTTACAATCACGCAGCAATTTATGTCCTTGTGCTTCTATCTTCCCCGACTGTAAGTATTGAATTATTGAACAAATGGACAATAACATAAATTTGATGTCCATCGATTAAGTCGAAAGAGACAATGGCAAAGAAAAGAGAAGGAAACACGAGAGCATCGCATCAATCCTTATTTGTTTTATGATGAGTACTAAATATTTTATTTTTGTATATTATGCCTGCATTGATGCGGAAACGTGATTTGAAATAAAATTACTTTCGAGTATCGCCCATGAGGTTTTAATATTTGAGAAAATCCATTAACTCTCCGATATGAAACAAAAGACTCGTTTCCCGCAGCCCTTCCTGGCCCAGATTGGATCCGACGCTCCTACGGCTTCGCTCATTATGCACGCTTGGAATCCAAACCTCTTGTCCGTCAGCTGAGCGCTTTTCGCAACAAAGGCATAATGAAATGGCCATTTGTAAGATCGGATCATCATTACGAACGCTGCGATGAAAGAAAGAGGAAATGAGGGGGAAATGAAAATCGCATTTGATGATTTCAGCGGGTTTCTTCTCCGTCTTCAATCTTAGCGGCTTTTTAAACATCCTCCCTGACATCATGCTCTCTGATTGTGTAAACTGCGCCGAAGAAAGCGCAGTGGGAGCGCCGTGCAGTGCTCGCCTCACAACAGCGCAGGCGCAATAAATAAAATGGCGGACGGGCAATTTGGTGCGGGTTGCCAACACGGGAGCAATTTGCAAAGATGGATGCCAAGCCTCTTGGTATTTTTTTCTTTTTCTTTTTCCTATTTAACCGAGGTAGTGGATGTTTCCTCTAAAGCTTACAGAGTATTTTTCTTTCCTTCGGCTTTGCATAGCGCGCCTTGCAAAGTCTCATGTGGCAACACCGCTTGTATCAGGCGAGGGTTTGTCTCCTGTTGAGTGTGTTTACCTGTCGCACCGATGACTTCAAAATACTCGAGACATCACAAGACGTGCAATGCTCCTATTGTGCTGATGGAACCACTACGGGCGGTGAACTAAAATGTACTAGACGATCGGTACAGATATACGGGTATTTAAAGAACCATTAATTGATTATATTGTAAATCACGTTAATCCTGCTCATTAAAGCGATTATGTCAGGCAGGAAAAGAACCGGGTTTTGCGGGAAGCCCATCGCCGCTGCCTTACTTCACCCACGCACCCGACGAATCCAACATTTATCGAGTTTCTCAAACTATATTTCTAACATCAGAACAGAAAAGGGGGGAAAGGGAAAATAATCAATTATAGAAATGCCCGTCACAGGAGCCACCACAAGAAAGTCAGTGATACGGTAAATGCCTTTGTTACGGTTGTATGGCAGACGCACCAATTTAGCTGTCTGGGCCCTGATCCCCAGACCCTTCAGACCTGTCAAAAAAGGGTCTGCTTGTGTCCCCGGGTCTCGCAGACGGGATGAGGGATGGAGCATCAGTACTTGCTGCCATGGATCAACATTATATCACGCGGTGCAGTCGAAGCGATGCCGAGTATTTCATTTATTATTGTAATAATATTTTGTAAACTAAAAAAAAAAATCATTTACAGGACTCAAACGGATCCTGAACACCCCTGAACGCATCCTATTCGTCTTCTATTTAAAGAAAACAATAACACTACACGACCGGACACTGTCAACCATACACGTACCGTCCCGTGCTTCTTATTACCGGATCCCAAGCAAGTGTCTTCAAAGAACGCATCGTTATTACAAACGCCTATATTTCACGCCCTTGGCCCCTACCACCGCCTCTCCCTTCAGCCACGCCAGGACTCCCAAAGGACGCGACGAGTGTTGGGAGTAACGAGGTCCTTGGTAACGTAAAGTGTCCACCGGGCCCACAAAAAGCGACGTCGCCCACAAAGACTGCATTTCACGCCATCCCGACCCTCGCTCAAGACCTCCATTGTACGATAACTTTCCGAGAAGGTTTGGAATCCGTCCGGAGCCTGAGAGCGAGAGCGAGAACCGAACACCTACGACATCCGTTATACATCTTTTATGGCGCTTTACAGTCCTCTCTGCGTGTGTGTGTGTGTGTGTGTGTGTGTGTGTGTGTGTGTGTGTGTGTGTGTGTGTGTGTGTGTGTGTGTGTGTGTGTGTGTGTGTGTGTGTGTCAGAGTCAAAGTGCGTTTGTTCCTGAGCAACGAAAATTAAAAGCGATTTACAAAAAAAAAAAACAGATTTACGGCGCGAATGCTATAGTTTCTCCCCCACGCCCTATCAAGCTTCTCAGTCTTGGTAATAGCCTTGATACGATGCATGGAAGAGATATGGCATGGGATTACGGCTGCGATACCCCTGCGCCATCTTCACGCTCTGGGGACTTAATCTGACAAAGGGAGGGGGGGGGCAAGGGGAGAGGGGAGGTTTGTTCTTACCTTTTACCCATTCTTCGGTCTTAAAACCATAATAAGTTACTTACACCCGAGTTTAAAAGTTCTCCAGGTGAGAGAAGAAGGGAGAGAATGCGGAGGAGGGAGGCGTGGAAAGGGGGGGGGGGGGGTGGAGCCATAATGGTTCGAATCGACTGTATCTTATTATTTGATGTTAAGCAAAGGTGGTGTGAGATAGAGAACTGCCCTTTTTACAAGCCTCCGTTCTTAGTCTTTACACGCTTCTATTCATTATTACTTTTTTTTCATTGCCTCCTCCTTCATTCGTAGTTTTGAATCCAATCCCGATTTTTCTTGAGTGGGTAGTTATTTTTTCCTATTTAAGTTACTTTAAATGTAAATTTCTGACAATCTAATTAATAGCATCTAAAAACCGAATATGTGAAATACAAAGAAACTAATTCCATCCCCTCTCCTCTCTTCGCCGCCTAACCGTCTGTTGCTCTGAGGACACTACACTGGTTTCCTAAGATTTCACAAGAACGTGTCTCTCAGACTCTTATTGACAAAAGCAAGCGGTCAAGATAGAGGCACGCTATTACCGTCCGCGAGGGGACAACATTGGCTATAATCCCGGCAAGCCAACGTGAGTGTGGTCACTACGGCTCTGGAGGAACAATGGCTCCGAGTCGACGCTATCTGCACACAGTTGAAACTCTTAAGTCGTCGTAATGACCAGCTGAGACCAGGATGAAACTGCAGATTCCATACTGTAAACTGACTCGGGTCGCCCGGCCAGTTTTCAGGAGATATCAGGCGCTCCCTGTTGCTATTCAGTTTTCCTTTTGAGACGAGAAAACGCACTACTAACCAGCCTTTATATATGGTAAGTGATAGTCTAGGTGAGAATTCAAGTTAATCGAGATTCATTTCAATTTTTTTTACAAACTGAAAACTACAAACGAATAACCTTATAAGAAACAAAAACAAATAATGAAAGTTTACGTGAGAAGCAGGAGAAACAGAGCATCTTAAACCCCAGAACAAAAAAAGAGACAATCAGATAAGAAAGGCAGGATGCGAGGCTCACTAAATCGCTTTCATTAGTCAGTCTTTGTAATGATAACAGCCAAACGCAGGCTTCTAGCCAAACCGATGAGAAGTGAATGGACAGCTGATTGAGAACTTGGGGAAGGATGAGAGTGCGGCCAGAGAGAGAATTGAAAGAGTTTTGGAGAGAGATGGGGAGTAGAGATGGCCGAAGACCAGAGATCAGTATGGGAGATAATGGTGGAAAATCCGCTTGTTGTCTAGTCCTGAGATTCTGATGTTTACTTTACCTATTGTATGCGTCTGTCCATCTCTATTCATAAATGACAAAGGTATTATCTAGACAAATTTGATATTAAAAGGTATTTTTCAGAAAACAAAATGACTTTTAAGTCTTTAACATCATTGATTGACTTCTGTTTTTTTAAATACAAAGATTTCCAGCTTACTGGTTGAAAGCTGCAACTCACGTCGTATAATGCGATAAAAGTAAAGGAATATAGACCTTAAGTCTACTCACCATAAAGCAGTTGGAGTTCTGATGACAGCTGGCGTCGTCTTGCAGGGAAATGTCTTTCTCGAACTGAAAATAAAAATAATAATACATTAAAACATATTTGACATTAAATCAAATTAATTGTTCAGAGCAATGGAAACAGATGTAAATAGGCAATGTATTTGAATGCATAATATCTACTCAATTCATCTTCATAAACTGAAACTCAAAGGGAACTCAAATAAACCTTGAGAGCAAACTAGGATCAACTGGGCCAAATACACGAGCAAATATAAACAAGTCAATAAGGCTGAAGAAACTCCATTCCTTGATCAAACGCTGTGACGGTTAGTGGGGCTCTTACCCCCCCCCCCCCCCCTTCCATTTTGGAGAGAGATGGGGAGTAGAGATGGCCGAAGACCAGAGATCAGTATGGGAGATAATGGTGGAAAATCCGCTTGTTGTCTAGTCCTGAGATTCTGATGTTTACTTTACCTATTGTATGCGTCTGTCCATCTCTATTCATAAATGACAAAGGTATTATCTAGACAAATTTGATATTAAAAGGTATTTTTCAGAAAACAAAATGACTTTTAAGTCTTTAACATCATTGATTGACTTCTGTTTTTTTAAATACAAAGATTTCCAGCTTACTGGTTGAAAGCTGCAACTCACGTCGTATAATGCGATAAAAGTAAAGGAATATAGACCTTAAGTCTACTCACCATAAAGCAGTTGGAGTTCTGATGACAGCTGGCGTCGTCTTGCAGGGAAATGTCTTTCTCGAACTGAAAATAAAAATAATAATACATTAAAACATATTTGACATTAAATCAAATTAATTGTTCAGAGCAATGGAAACATATGTAAATAGGTAATGTATTTGAATGCATAATATCTACTCAATTCATCTTCATAAACTGAAACTCAAAGGGAACTCAAATAAACCTTGAGAGCAAACTAGGATCAACTGGGCCAAATACACGAGCAAATATAAACAAGTCAATAAGGCTGAAGAAACTCCATTCCTTGATCAAACGCTGTGACGGTTAGTTTGTTTGTAGAGCCTTACCCCCCATCCCCTGGCTCTTACCCCACCCCCTCCCCCTTCCACCCCCACAACGCCAACTCTCGCCCCCCTAAGCAGACAGCTTTCATGTGGAATAATACTCTACTCTCGAAAAATAAGAAAAAAAATCCATTCATCTACACTGATCCCAAGACATTATTTCAAAGCTTATATCTAAATCTTAATACTGCTTTTCTTATTCTATTGAAAGAGTAAAAAAAACAAAAAAACTCTCATGCATCGAAACACAGGCCACGTATTCGCATCCCGTCTGAAACAATGGAAAAGCTCTCGTCGTTTCCTCCGCGTCCAGAGGGAGAGAGCGGACGGGCCGGGGAGCGAGGGCGAGGAGTGTTTGCCGAGCTGTTTTCACGGTAAACCATTACCTGTTGACACGGACCATTCCTACGTTTACAAAAACACGAAAATAAGCCGAGGACTTTGTTGACCAAACACCTGAAGACATAAAGCTAGAAAGGCGATGAATTTTGAACCTGAAACTCTTTAGGTGAAATGGAAGATGGAGAGAGGGTACCACACCTTCCAAGTGTTCTAAAGTAAATACTCTTTGTAAATCCTTTAGAATATTCCAAGGGATGAAGAGGCTATTAGTTGTAACATTATTTTGTTTCAGTAAGCATTATTCACCGACGTACGAAATGACACCCACGCAGCCTAGCTCATTTCTTGCGTGAGCGTTGAAATCCCCAGCAGTTGATGTGAGAGAAAGAAAGAGAAGATATAGGAGAAGAATGAAGAGAAGAGATAAGAGAAGAATGACGAGAACAGAAGAAGAATGACGAGAACAGAAGAGAAGAATGACGAGAACAGAAGAGAAGAATGGAGAGACGAGAAGAGAGGAATGAAGGAGAGGAGAGACAGAAAATAGAATACGAGAATAAAGAAAATTCAATCAGTTTCCCTGTCTTTAAAAAGCGCCGGACGTTTATAACGACTGTCGTGAGGTGCCTGTCTCGGATGAAAAACTATCCCATAAAATAAAAGTGTCTCAGGTCGAAGCCGTCACCTCCAATCGTGGGTGATTTATGCCCCGTGCGGTCGCCTCGCTCCCCGCCAGGTACTAAACCCTTCTGCAGGAGACCCCGGATTATCGTCTTCGGAATCACTCGATACGAACATCCGTCCACCTCGAGGGGCTTGAGACATAATAAAAATCGCGGAAGACATTCCTGAGGGAGAAGCATAATTCAGGTTCTCCTTAAGCAGGCTGAAGGTCCTCGCTTCTGACCGGCGACACTGCTACACGGCCGAGGGAAGAAGCCCCTTTAACGGCCGGGTGACACAACAGATTAGGATCTCCCACGGTAGATTCGTCGGTGTATATGCCTCGAAAAATTGCATAAAAGTTACAATAAATCACTCTCAGCAGAAGGCGGCTGGAGGAGAGTTCCCATCCAGCATTCTCGGGAGAAAGACCGTCCCCCAGCAAGCCCGGCGATCCATTAATTAAGAGGCCAATGAATGAGGGAAGCCAATACAGGCGTCGGCGCGCTGACGGATCACCTTCGCGAACAATGGGCTGGACACAACGCTGGCCGAGTCTTGCATTAGTCTTACGCGAGCTGAATCAATCAAGATTGTTTATATTATCATGTCATTCTGTCGTTTGTTTAAAAAAAAAGAAGTCTTGTGCTTTACATGATAATATCTGAATACCTAACGAAGCTGCTGGTGATATAAAGAAAAAAAGTAGAGGAAACCAAACAATGATTTTTTTTTCTTTTTTTGAGGAGCGTGAACCCAAAGGAATGATCTATAGCCCAAGAAAAGAATAAAAGAAAGAAAGTCTCGGTAGTATTTACGATTTCCTCTGATTGTAACGGTAACCACATGACCTCCGGAAATATTGCCCGCCGCCGCCTTGAGCTCTGGGATATAATACAACTGTCATGGCTCTTCCTATCGCTTTCCATCGACAAAGTTCAGTGTACGGCAGATACAAAGCGAAGTAAATATCAATAGACTAACTGTCGCTATCTGATATTATCGTCATTGTCAGAAGAATAAGAGATGATTAGAGTAATGAAGCTCTATGTGAAGCCTATAGGGTTAGGCCTTAAGACTATCGCGGTTGCCACTTCCGCTCCCGGCGTGATAGGCATTTAACTTCCTGTGATATCGACGTAGCTTCGGGGCCATCATTATTGACGGTCTAGATGGCTCTTCCGGTACCTGGCTGATGCGACCGGCTGAGTGAGTATGATTAAACTACGAAAAATACCTTATGACGAGGAAAGTGAAATAGCCATCGCTTCTGAAAGGATGATGTGAATTACTTAGCATTAAAGGTATGTGTATGGATGTATCATTTTTTCGTTAAGTAACAAATCCCTTCCAAAGCCCGCCAGTAAGAACGGTGAGGTGTCAGAGAGAGGGATTACATTCCGTTTGCCGAAGGATTAGATTCCATTTAGTAAGGGAGTCGCTATTCACGTGTCATGTCAAGTGTGTGACGAGACCGGGAACATTAGGAAGTGCTGAAGCTTCGACCGTTTATATTCTAGGGAGCGGGACGGCTACACAATGCGTCCTGAAGGTTGTTTACGTGCGTGTCTACGGGGACTCGCGAGGGGCGGGGGCTGCTACACTTGAGCCGCCCTGACTGATGGGAGGGCTCCCCTTTCATGCCGGAACACACAAAACTCGTTTGACTCAAGGAAGACTCTAAGAAGCTTGGGAGATCAATTTAGAAAAACTGCATGGGGCCTTTTGACATGGGTCTGCCGTCCGGGGTCTTTGATAAGAAGAATGTAGTGAAGATTATCCGTACCCTGGCCGGCCCCCGAGACAACACCTCGGCCAGCGCAGCATCGCGGACAGACCGGCCGAAGCAGGGGGACGTTTTGACTTCTTGACCGCAGTCATGGCGCGACAGTAGCAGCCTCAATAGGAACCAAACTCCGAGTCATTAGTTCCTCCCGCTTTTGTCTTTTTAATGCCCAAGAATCCGTTTTATAGAAAAGGTCTTTGTCCAGAGGTCACCTTCGCCCGGGGCACGGGAGCCAAGCGCTGCCCTCAGCTACCTGTGAGCGTGAACCCAAGAATGATCTATAGACCAAGAAAAGAATAAAAGAAAGAAAGTCTCGGTAGTATTTACGATTTCCTCTGATTGTAACGGTAACCACATGACCTCCGGAAATATTGCCCGCCGCCGCCTTGAGCTCCTGGGATATAATACAACTGTCATGGCTCTTCCTATCGCTTTCCATCGACAAAGTTCAGTGTACGGCAGATACAAAGCGAAGTAAATATCAATAGACTAACTGTCGCTATCTGATATTATCGTCATTGTCAGAAGAATAAGAGATGATTAGAGTAATGAAGCTCTATGTGAAGCCTATAGGGTTAGGCCTTAAGACTATCGCGGTTGCCACTTCCGCTCCCGGCGTGATAGGCATTTAACTTCCTGTGATATCGACGTAGCTTCGGGGCCATCATTATTGACGGTCTAGATGGCTCTTCCGGTACCTGGCTGATGCGACCGGCTGAGTGAGTATGATTAAACTACGAAAAATACTTTATGACGAGGAAAGTGAAATAGCCATCGCTTCTGAAAGGATGATGTGAATTACTTAGCATTAAAGGTATGTGTATGGATGTATCATTTTTTCGTTAAGTAACAAATCCCTTCCAAAGCCCGCCAGTAAGAACGGTGAGGTGTCAGAGAGAGGGATTACATTCCGTTTGCCGAAGGATTAGATTCCATTTAGTAAGGGAGTCGCTATTCACGTGTCATGTCAAGTGTGTGACGAGACCGGGAACATTAGGAAGTGCTGAAGCTTCGACCGTTTATATTCTAGGGAGCGGGACGGCTACACAATGCGTCCTGAAGGTTGTTTACGTGCGTGTCTACGGGGACTCGCGAGGGGCGGGGGCTGCTACACTTGAGCCGCCCTGACTGATGGGAGGGCTCCCCTTTCATGCCGGAACACACAAAACTCGTTTGACTCAAGGAAGACTCTAAGAAGCTTGGGAGATCAATTTAGAAAAACTGCATGGGGCCTTTTGACATGGGTCTGCCGTCCGGGGTCTTTGATAAGAAGAATGTAGTGAAGATTATCCGTACCCTGGCCGGCCCCCGAGACAACACCTCGGCCAGCGCAGCATCGCGGACAGACCGGCCGAAGCAGGGGGACGTTTTGACTTCTTGACCGCAGTCATGGCGCGACAGTAGCAGCCTCAATAGGAACCAAACTCCGAGTCATTAGTTCCTCCCGCTTTTGTCTTTTTAATGCCCAAGAATCCGTTTTATAGAAAAGGTCTTTGTCCAGAGGTCACCTTCGCCCGGGGCACGGGAGCCAAGCGCTGCCCTCAGCTACCTGAGCTGATCACTGCCCAAACGACTATCGGACGTATTTCCTAAACAGCGAACCGTATATTTGGCTTTGTTCCTCCGTGTCCCTCGTAATGATGGAGCCTTTACTCCGAAAACAAAACGAGAACTCTCGAGGGGCCGCGACTTATCCTGAAGGGACAGCTCGGACAGTCGACCGGAGGAAAAAAAACTTCCCTTCCTGTTGTCTCATTGTGCCAGAGGACGCGTAGGCATTGTGAGCCACTCCTGAACTCGCAGAGAAAAGAAAAAATAACAATATTACTATCAGACCCGAGTTGGGTCTGTGGTGGAAGTCTGGCTCGCCCGGGGGGAGGGGAGGGGAGTGCCCGGCCTGTGGTACCGACGCCGACGCAGAACGCTCGACTAACTCCCACTCTTACTCTACGGCTCTAAATCAAAATCAAATGTATCCGATAGAACGGATAGTGAGCCCGCAACCCCTTCCCCGACTCAGGCACCGGAGTGTGGGAAACGCAAGGGCCTCTTAAAAGGGCCACAATAAGACGTGTGGGTAACCGTGCCAGGTCGATCCAATGTGCACGGCGAGAGGGGCCTGGGACCTGCACCCGCCGCTGACCTTCCCTGCTCCCGTTTTGTTTCGCTTCGGACCAGAAAATGGCCTTCATCCCTCTCCCTCTTTCCAGACTACCTCTTCAACACGACCTTACAAAAACACAAGGACTACTATAAACCGTTACAAACACGCGAGACGTTATTGAAAGAAAGTGGACGATCTAATCTCGGTTCTATCAAGGGTATTTTGCGGCCGAGAAGCCACACAAGCTCAAGGGGCGAACGCTACGCAACGCCCAGACTAACGCAAGACAGCAGCGAGACCGTGCGATATCTAGCGGCCGCAACGACAACACGCCGCGCTGATTAATTAAGCTGATATCAATGATTAAACAGACATGCCTTATACCGTAAGTCACTTCGCATGGAAAGGAACAGTGAATCATAATATCAAATAAAAAGTTTAAAAGAAAAGGGGCAACGGACTCATAATTTACCATCACACAGACCCCACTAAGAGAAAAATGTAAAGAAAAGTGAAATGATATAAAAGCGAAGTGATTAGTATTCCTCTCCGTGCGCCTACGAGACTCACGGGCATCAGGTAGCGGCGAAGGGAAGGAGGGGGAGGGAGAGGGGGAGGGAGCCCTGTGGACTCGCCCGTAATGACCAGCTACCGGACCTCGGGCTCGCCAAACCCACTCGCAGTCACTCAGTCGGAAAAATGTATAAATGTGTATGTATCGAATTATCATGAATATATGAAACTGATTTAGCCACCATGGCATACTCTACCGCATTCCCATTACTATTGCCAATGCCAAAATATGGAATTCCCTTCACCACCCAAGCTACGGAAGCTCCATAGGGGCACCTTCTGTATGATGGGGAGGTGGGGTCGGGAGGGGAGGGGGTGTCTCACACTGTGGCGAAAATTAATGACTGTCACCGTGGGCATGCCACTGACCGCGACGCTGGAGATGGTGCTAGCAGGGGCGGTTTGTGTCAACTCAGCAAGATTTAATGGCATATGAATTTCGCCAGACACGTAAATTCTCATAACGTAAAAAAATGGAAGACGAACAAGTAAAAATGCTAAAAAATCCCTCGGGAAGGAATTACACTCAAAACCTCTTCGATAGAGGGTTAGCCCTTACACGCGAAAAAAAAAATAAACAAGTATTTAAGATTCGCTATCATGTGCCGAAGGTTCATTAGCGTTCTTTGCGAAAAGTCGATTTCCCTAAACCGAAGCCCGAGCGCGCCGGGAAAAATGCCTCGGCCGCGAAATTCCGAAGACCCCCTGGAAGAAGCAGCAGTAAATCTGACCGTCTGCCCTGTTTTCGCGCATCGTTATCCCGCTGGAAATGTCACAAGTCACCGCCTAGACGGCATTAATTACCTAGAATTCCTGCGGATCTGGTCCTCCTCCTTATTCTCCTCGCCCTCCCCCCTTCACCCTCCCTGTCCCTACCCCTCTCCTCTTGTCCCTAGACAGGAGAGATCGTAGGGAAGATTCGCCCCCCCCCTCCCCAAAGGCCTTCTCTCTCCCATCTGATTTCTTGCCTTGCCATTGTTGTAGGGGACAAAGACATTTTTTCCCCTGAGAAAGGAGTTTTGGGGGAGAAGAAGGGGAGAGAGGCAGGCGAGGAGTAGGGTTAAGTGGCTCAAGGGGGGAGATAAACATTTGGAAAAATTGATTACGGATTCTGAAGGTGAAATAAAAGCGAGTGCAAACCGTCTGAGGGCAAGCAAAGACTTACAGGAACGACAATTATATTACAAAATAAATAAATAAATATATGACAGTAATATATCATACACACCCCATGCACACCGCCGACTACCTAACACCCAACCAAACATACACGAATCAAAGCCTCTCCTTTTGAGGAGAATAACGACAACCCACACTCGCCATGCATTATAAACACCCAAAAATAAAAATCAGCATCACCTTTTCTGCCATCGGTTTCCAGCCAGTGGATAAAGACGAACGACCGCCGAACGGGTTCTCGACAAGAGTCCGTTCCAGAGACTGAGCCCGCAAAAGAGCGCCCAGTCGGACTCTCTTGTGTCCTTCTGACAACCGTAGCGCACGCTCAGACATACCCTCTTTAGTTCCCGTCCTCGCGGGAAAATAGAAAGGAGAGAGAGAGAGAGAGAGAGAGAGAGAGAGAGAGAGAGAGAGAGAGAGAGAGAGAGAGAGAGAGAGAGAGAGAGAGAGAGAGAGAGAGAGAGAGAGAAACAGGAGTGGAGAAAGAATTCAATTCCTACAGCTTATTTTATTCTTTTTTTGGGCACTGCAGAGTGGTGAGTCATGAAATCCCCCATTAAATTTAACGCAAGGGATATAAACTTAATAAATCTGAAAACTCCTCACACGGAAGATATACCTATAAAACTGAAACTCTCTGTTTAAAACATAGAAATATGGCTGTCAAAACCTTTTCCCTTCCCTTTCGCTAACCCTCGCCATCACAGCAGCCCCATAGAAGGCCCTACCTCGCTATTCAGAAGAGGACAAGAAAGGACAGAAGAGGAGAACGGCAGGCGAAGAGAAGGGAGGAGGGGGAAATAGGGAGAAGGGAGAAAGGGGGCCTTCCCTACGAGTCAGAAGGCAGTGTGAATGGCATGAATAGATGACATTGACAGCGCTGGGCTTTTAGCAGTGATTAAAGGCGTCGGAAAAAGGCAAGGTTGTCGCCGTCCTAGTGCTAAGTGGCCTATGAGCCTCCGACTCGATCGTTTAGAGACGGTCTCCCTTCGAGGACGAGATATGGCCGTCAGATACAGCGTGTTGTGCAGTCTACCTTTATTTGGTGATATATATATTAATAGTTTAATCGTTTATAAGAATATCTTTATGAGACGCTGATAGTATTTCAAGTATTTCAAGATTGTGATACTTTGGTTTGATTTCTTTTATTTTTAATTGATAAACTGGTCATCAATTCTGTAGCCGATACTTTTATTTTGAGAAAGAGAGAATCCACGCCCGAAAAAAATACACAACTCGCACTAAAGCAACCATAAACCTAAATCAACATAAATCCTTCTTCCAACAATTGAACAAAAATATATATTTCTAAATAAACAACGATCACGATTTACGACCACCACTAAAATTAATTTTATCCGCAAATTCAAAAAATTACAGATTCGCACCGTAAAATATTTCGTCGGAGTTGTGAAAAATACTTTAAGGCGTAGACTTAACGTACATAATATACTACATTCGAACTCCTTTTAATTCCAGCATAATACTGGCGATATATCTAAAGAGAACACACTTGTGCGGCATACAAATCACCGGTAATATGTATCCTCACGGCGGTCGCTCAGCCCGAGTTTTTATTTCGAAATCTTGCTGTTAACTTTCCTCGTCTCTTTTCATTTCCCTCGAACAAAAAATCGTTCACACATGATTTCGCTTTAACAACACACTTTCTTGTTGTTTTCTTTCCTTACCTTATCAAGACAGTGCGCTCTGCATTGTGCCATCTTGAGCGCGTCTTGCAGGTCTACGGCGGAGCACAGACCTCCAGCCATCACCACCACCAGCACCAACACACAAGCCTTCGTCGTGTTATCCATGGCTTTAAAATGTCTGTATAACTTTGTCCGTTTCTAAGCACTGAAACGCTGAAATCTCACTAGAGGCCACCAACGGAGCGAGCGCAGTTCCACAGGCGGTTTCCACGCGGAGGAGCTACGTAGGGATCCGCTCCGAAC